TTCTAGCCTGGCTCTTTGCAGGTTAGTTGGAGATGGAGTCTTAGGGATTTTTCGGCCTCGGTTGGCTTTGAACTGCAATCTTTGCTATAAAAGCCCATTATTTCCAATGAAAGCAACAAGGAGATCAAGTAGAATAAGTAGAGTTTACCTGGTTCTTATCAAGAATTGCCAACAAATGTTCTGAAATGACAAAACTCATTGGATGTGAGAATATTAGCACAGATATGCCCAATATTTTAGAGTCATGTAGTCAGTACCAGAATACACAACACAAAACAAAAAAGGCAGAACTCAAAACCTAAAATTTTGACAATGTTTAGACATCTTTGCTAACAAAGTGCATCAGATGGTTAGGCCTCAGTTACCAGGGCCTGTGAAAAGAGCAAGTTGTTAGCAAGGCACCTTAGACTAGATGGAGTAGTAAGCTTGGTGGAAGGTTAAGGGTCAGATGGGGCCAAACCCTTAACCCACCATGTGGCCAAGATGGCGAATTTCTGAAAAAATGCAAAGAAACCCTGAACAAATAGATCAAGCCTACATTGGCTAGCCTTTGAGAGAGAACCTAGAAGGGGGTCCCTGGGACCCAGCCTGCGTCGCACTCTTCAGGGCACAAGCCAAAAAGTTGTAGAAAAAAAGGAGAGAAAGTTGGACATGATTAGCAGAGAGAGCAAAGACAGCCTAAAAGTAAACAGACTTCTGCCCATGTACCATTGCAGAGGCAAAAACTGTCTAAAACTGAGAATGGCATAAAAATTGACTCGCAGCACCCCATTAAATGTGTAGGAGAGTCAGTGTGGTGAGTGAAGGAGAGCTGACCAGACAGAAGCGGCGTCCCGCCTTCCCCCAGAGCCCTCTCGAGAGAAACGGCCAAGCCCCCAAAACCAAGCGTCCTGGGCTTCAGAGGTGACCGGCCTTTCAGCTAAAGGCCATAGGAGCTCTCTGGCGTGGCGCCATGTGTGGACAGACTGAGCGACAGAGAGCCGTAGAGAGTAGTTTCACTCACCAGAGTAGAGGAGTGGTGTGGACATGGATGTGAAGGCCAGCAATGGTATTGATGCGCTGTGTCCACAGCAGATAGACCAGTTCGCAAAAGGCCGTCAGAACTCTGGGTATTCCTCAGAGCAAAAAGGGGAAAACAAATAAAAAAGAGGAAAAAAACCAGAGAGGAATCCCACCTATCCTGACATTAAGCCCTTTATCCGAGTCACGGCCCCATTTGTTAGGTTTTTAAAAAAGAGGTACCCGAGTAAGAACAGCACCATGCACGTGGTATTCAGGTAAGGGGTAGGTTTATTTAGTAGACCTGCTGGGACCAGACAAGGTTGGCACTCCACTGGCAAAAGACCTGGGAAAGAGAGCTGGGAAAGAAAGCTGGGCAAGAGGAGAGCTGGGAAAGAGAGAGCTGGGAAAGAGCTAGAAAAGAGGGCATTTAGGCCTGGGCTAGGCCTTATCTAGGGTATGGGCAGAGAAAGGTGTGGCCATATCAAATTCAGATGTGACCTCTTCCAGGTGTGCCAGTTGCCTAGGTAATGTAGGTACTGGGTGGAGACTTTGCTGCGAAGAAGGTGGAGTCTGCTCACCATCCTGGAACGGACCTTACAAAGAGTTTCACAGACTTTCCTGCCTGTGCTGGCTTTGAACCGCGATCCTTAGATCTCAGCCTTCTGAGTAGCTAGGATTACAGGCATGAGCCACCGGTGCCTGGCGATAAGGAAGCTTTTCTTTTCCTCCTTCCTAACCTTCCTGCCTGAAATACAAAGGCAATACTTGGGCTGCAGCAGGAGGCTTGAGAATCTACTGGGTGGGCTTTAGGGCAGAAAGATGGGAGCAGCCTGTTTCTGCCCACACTGCTTTCCTTATGGCTTCTGGACATGAGGAAAAGTAACTATCTGGTTGGACAGTTAGAGCTGGGTTGTTGTTTAAATGCAGCCAGAAGTGAGCCTGATGTCGTCACTGCCCTTTTCTCATTTTATCTAGAGAAAAGGCCTTGGGTTTTTATATCAGGGCTCATCCATCAGTGGCCAATACTTGAAGAGACTTGCTACCCTGAACCAACATGTACTTTTTCAGGTGAGGGTCCTGAATCCCTGTATTCTTCTCTATGGCTACTGTACAGATAGTACAAATATTATTTTGCTTCTTCAGTCGTGGGGCTTGAACTCTGAGCCTGGGTGCTGTCCCTCAGCTCTTCAACTCAAGGCAAGTGCTCTAACACTTGAGCCACAGCGCCACTTCTTGTTTTCTGGTAGTTTATTGGAGATAAGAGTCTTATGGACTTTCCTGCCTGAGCTGGCTTTGAACCATGATCCTCAGATTTCAGCCTCCTGAGTAGCTAGGATTACAGACATGAGCCACCAGCGCCCAGCTTAGATTTTTATTATTTTATGTATTTCTGGAAATCAGAAGTCCTGAACCAAGCTGTCAGCAGATCTGTTTTTCTTTTTTTTTTTTTTT